AAAAGCTGTTAGGTTTCTTGGGGTTTGGTTTGATGAAAAATTAACATGGAAAGTTCATCTGAATAAAATTAAGGACAAATTTAAAAAGGTCATCAACATACTTCGGTGTTTATCAGGACAGGAACGGGGAGCAAGTAGAGCATCTACATATATTGGGCACTCATAAGATCTGTTCTTGACTATGGATGTATAGCTTACATGTCAGCAGCAGAATCAAACCTCAAGGAATTAGATGTATTACAAGCTCAGGCCCTGAGAATCTGTAGTGGGGCTTTTAAATCATCTCCGGTATCATCAGTTCAGGTGGAAATGGGAGAAATGTCATTAAGAATTAGAAGAGTAAAATTAATGATGGCATACTGGGTCAATCTCCAAGGACAAAATGATAAACATCCTGTCAAAAGCGTATTGAAAAAATGCTGGGAACATAATGAAACAAATTTTACTAGTTTTGGGTGCATAGGTGATGCTAAAGCAAGAAATATAGGATTACATCAATTATAGTACAGTAATACAGTATCAATTTCCTCTATTCCTCCCTGGTTATTCCCCTTGCCAACTGTTGACCTTAGTATACAGCAGGAACTGAAAGACAATTATAATCAACTTCCAATATGGTATATAGTCCAGAACTATTTTGAGAAACATTTCCCACAGTCAATGGTTTTATTTACAGATGGATCCAAGGATCCTGATACAGGCTATGCAGGTGCAGCAGTATATATTCCAATGTTTGAATTTTATATTAAGAAAAGAGTAACCAACTATTTGTCAGTAGATGCTACAGAGCTATTGGCAAAATTATTGGCCCTACAGTGGATAGAAGAGAAGGAAATAAATAACACTGTCATTGCATCTGATAGTTTTTCAGATATTGAAAGTATAAAATCTGGCAGGTCATCAGTTAGGATGGATATTATTAACAAAATATTCTGCAAGATGTATGAAAGGAAAGTTAAGGGTATGTCTACACAATTCATTTGGGTTCCTGCTCATGTTGGTGTGGAGGGAAATGAGAAGGTGGATATTCTGGCTAAGCAAACTCTAAGAATAAAGCAAGTAGATCTACATATTCCATTAAGTAAAGCAGAAGCTAAAGTATACGTTAGAACATATACACAATCAGTTTGGCAGGTATATTGGGATGACAATAAAAACAGGTAGACATTTATATAATATACAAAAAACAGTTGATGCCGGGAGAAAGGAGAGTAGGAATCGAAGGGAAGGAAATATCATTACACGCCTTAGAATTGGGCATACTGGACTTAATAGTACGTTATATAGAATTGGTAAGCACCCAACTGGGGAATGTATACACTGTAATCAACAAGAAACAGCTGAACATGTATTACTTCAATGTGTAAAATACAACCATGAGAGATGTCGCCTTATTCAGTCAATGAAGAAAGTAAAACACCATGACTTTTCTTTGTCAAGTTTATTGGGGAAATCAGCTAACAAGATATATGATGATGTTATTAGGTTTATAAAAGAATGTGAATTAAGTAAGAGAATATAGATAATATGTGTGTGTGTATATATGTATGTGTGTATGTGTGTGTGTATGTATGTATGTATGTATGTGTGTATATATATATAT